TAGATCAACATTTTCAGACTAAGTAACACTATTTTTATTATTGCTATAGAGATTTAAAATTATTATATCAACGATTACTAATTAAAATCATATCTACTGCCAGAGCTTTCAGTAAATTCATGGATTAGTACGTAAACCTCCTGCTATAAATGTATATACATAGCAATAACTTAAAAGGACTACGACTAAATATGTATTAAATCACATAACGATAACTAATTAAAATCATATCTACTGCCAGTAAATTTATTGATTAGTACGTAAATCTTCTGCAATAAATGTATATAATAATAACTTAAAAGAACTACGACCAAAAAGAAAAATCTTTACCTTTAAATGTATCTTATTCAATATAGTTTAAAGACTGTTTTTTTTTTTCACTTTGTTTTATTCTGAGGCATTACAATTAAAAAATATTATTTTAAGGAGATCGTAGAGACTCAACATTTATATGAAAAGATTATAGAAAAGATTTCTAGCCCAGTTATTCTTTCAGTCCTTTTTATTATCATAAACTACATATATTTCTTTCACTGAATTAGTATAGATTTTACATAAATGTGTCACGTCTTTATGTAAAAAAGAAAGAATGTTAAGCCTAATGTTATACAAAAAATATAAATAAATGTGAGCAAAAAGGACTCTTCAATCAAAAAAGATGACCAAGAAGTTTCAATACCACCAATTCAGGACAGTACACCTTTAAAAGTGTTGTTGATCATATATGGATATTTTCATAGAATTATTCATAAACAATAGATCACACATTCAAATCACTAATTAGTTCTGTTAGCGTTGTTAAAATGAAGCCATAAATTGACTCAGTATTGTCACTCGCATCCCTTGTTATTTATTTGGTGAATTGTGACTTTGAATAGATGATGTATGCAATTATTATAACATTGTTTAAACTATATCAAGATGTTTCGTTATGTTTATGTTCAATAATTAAATTATATGTTCAATATTATAAGTTTTATGCATTATAAGGCATGAATTTGTTATAGAATAAAAGATAAATGTTATCGGACTAATGTGAAACTCTTTATTTACGTAACTATGTATAACCATGAATCAAATATATGTAATTTCGAATACAATATTCAAATAAAAGATATCAATAGTAGATTCAAAAGTAGTAATAAAGACAGAAAACGATTGAATCCAACTAAATACATAAAATTTATCACACCATTTACTTACTGAATTAGATAGCATCATGAAAGAGGATAAAAAATTAATTGTCCATTGCTCTGGGTAATCCGTCACAATTAGATTGACTCCCACAATAACAAAGGCCGCTAAATCTTATCAGACGCTGTCACTCCTTAATACAATCTCCGTGTCTTTTTATTTTTAATCTTAAATATTATTTCCAGAACCGTCAAATTAGAGTAATAACTTCTGATAATAAATTATACTTGAACTTAAAATGTTTATAGTAGAAATTTGCAAGTTCTTTATCTTTTTATATTATGATGGTCAATAATTAATAAGGATCTAAAGACGCCGTGGCTTAAGGGAATCTCTTACTAAAGCTTGTGCAAGTTTGTTACTATTTGTTTTCTATCTCGGTTATACAAATATTTCATGTAGTGTCGACAAATATCAAAACTTGATAAAGTAATTGAAACGAAAGTTTTACTGACGGATAAAAAGCTATGAGATATTTACCTTAAATTGAGTAATTGTAATTTGTTATTATAGATTATTCTAAGTTGCAACTACTTTTCGTTGTTATTACTTTTTAAAATTATATTCATATATTTTTATATTTTTATAATGTGGTGTATATTTTTTTATAAAGTTCTAGTTTTTCCCGTGTAGTTGTCTACGATAATATTAAAATTGCATCCACATGGAATGGTAAAAAGTTTTAAAAGAATGCATTTGGTAACCAAACGGCAGCTCCATATATACTATATAGCGAGTGTCACGTTACTTCACACTCAATTTAAAAATAATGCCACAATCCTGCTGAACTACAATTAATTCCGGAATAAATTATAGCTCACTGATTGATTGATAGATTTTCTTCTGATGCCTTAGTAATTGTACTCTAATCATTTATATATTTATATGGATGCAAGAGAGACAATCATCCATTCACATATGTATATATTTCTACACATTCATACCTCCATACGTCCGTACTCACGTTTCTTCATAAGCCCAAGCGTCCACTACAACGCTTTTATTCGCTAGTATATAAATATATTAATGAATATAATGAATCAAGAGATGTTTGCAATTACGTAATCTATAACTCTCGTAAGTACCTTAAAATCAAACTTAGACGATATGTTAAGGTGAAACGTATGTAAACGTTTGTTACCACTAAGTCGTTAATTTGTAATTATCAATAAAAATATTTATATCATGGCAGAATTAAACAGTAATGATAATTTTTAAAAACATATGATGTGAAAAAAGAACATTGGTATTTATGTAAGTGTACAAATATACTTGTTTATATAGAACATAATAAATTTATACTTAATATAACATAAAGATAATAAAATATAGATAATTAAAATATGGATTTATATGTCATTTTTGCTTATAATTAAAATTAAACACAAACAAAAAATGGAAGAACCCGAATTCTATATTTTTGATTAATACGACACAAAATTTAAATATTCACCAAAATAAGATACATTTTCCCGTCTAGTCAAAATTAGAAACTAGATCAAACTCGATAGAGAACGAATACATTTAATTTGGTATTCTATTAAAACATTCTCCTAGAGAAATTCTGAAGTATTAGTTAATAATAATATGTTTTTAGCTTGAAACAACTTCGGGTTCCTATCAAAGACAAATTAGTCGAAAAAATCTACTTAAAGATTTACGTATTTAATTAACTACAGAAACTTTGTTAATTCGTGAAACAATCTGTTAATTACTGAACTGTCTGAATGAAGCGACTAAGATTATGGTATGTTTAACAGACAATTAAATACAAAGCTAATAAATTGTCTTCTTTTTTCCACTTATTTGAATGAAAGAAATAGTTTTAAAAATTACTAATAATATAATAAAATAAAATTCACATGTCTCATAATTTCGTAAGAACTTAATCTGTAATGTTGTGAACTCAATGCTATAACAAACATCGTCTCGAACATTATTGCTGATGATAGTTGGTGATTACACATTACTGTAAATGATCCACAGATTGTACGTCGTCATATGTTGAAGTTGGTATGATTTACAAACTGAACTATAAAATAATATTTAACATGGCACTAAAAGTTTTTTAATATAGATAAAGGACAAATTGTGTCTCTAGCAAAGCTTTACATAAAAAGATAGATATAGCGTATGAGTGCGCAGGTTACAAGTAAACGAAGACTGACTTAATGCTATTTATTATATATAGATTACACATATGGATGTTGCACGTTCAATGCTTCGTTACGCACTGATGATCTTGACCGAGTCCCGCGTTCTCGCGTCGTAGCTAATAGTTTATATGAGGCGTTTACATTCTTGGTAATTGGCTCCAACATCCTCCCCCCCCTCGAAATCCTTCGATGTTCGAGTGACGTCCCTTGAATTTTCTAAAGAACAGAGGTTGTGTACAGCTCTACGGACGACTCCCTTGGAGGTGAAGACATCGGCGACTCTAGCAATTCCATCGGATCCTGGATAAAGTTTTTGGATTCGTGCCATTCGTCACTTAAGAGGTGGTAGGTTCGCTTCTTTTATGATGACCAGATCGCCTTCCTGGAATCCTTTTCGCTCGACTCTCCACTTAGACTTCTGCTGCAATTCGCAGAGATATTCGTGCTGCCAGCGATCCCAAAAATGTTGTCGCATCCTTTCCAGAAGTTGGTATCGGTTAAGTCGATGTGGATTGAAGTTCATCAAGGTTTCGGATGGCAGCGCTGTTAATGGTTTACCGATCAGAAAGTGCGCAGGAGTCAAGGGATCTAGGTCAGTGGGATCCGATGAAAGAGGAGTTAAGGGCCTGGAATTAAGGATTGCTTCAACTTGCGAGAATAAATTCGATAGTTCTTCAAATGTGAAATGTTTATCGCCTAATATACGTATTATGTGGTGTTTTGCAGCCTTAATGCCTGCTTCCCAAAGACCCCCAAAGTGAGGGGAGAAGGGGGGAGAAAAGTTAAATTTTATGCCTTGCTCAGCGGCAAAACCTATAATATCTTCATTGTTTTTTGAGAGGTTAGTTAGAAAGTTATTTGCTCCAACAAAATTGGTACCATTATCGCAATATATTTCTAATGGTTTACCGCGACGAGCTACAAAGCGTCGCAGACACAAAATGAAACGATCAGTCGTCAATGCTAGCTACCTCAAGGTGCACGGCCTTTGTACTAAAGCAAATAAACAAACACATATAGCACTTTGTTAACTATATAGCAGAACCAACTTATGGCAACTTTTAGATACTATTATTAACGTTTAGATAATACGTAACATAACAATAAATATATTTTTTATTTATATACATTAAGAACTAACAATAATTTGCATACTGCGAAAGCAAATACCTAGGCACTTGAAAATTGGATATTGAAGCTAAGTTCGACGCAAAGTCTGTCCATTGTTTGAATATAGATTTATCCACTGGATCATCCCAGTCCATTTTCGATAGCCACAGCTTTTGTAAAATTATTTTAGGGATGATGGTACATGGGCCGAGTAATCCCAGTGGATCAAAAAGCTTTGCTGAGTTGGACAAGACTGTCCGTTTTGTGGCAACTTGATCAAGTTGCAACTTAGCTGAAAATTGCGATACGTCTCTCGATGGATCCCAATTCAGACCCAAACTGTCGAGTGAGACATATGGTCATATTGATAATGACATATTTTAATTTTATGTGTGGGTTCATCGCGCCACAGAATTAATTGTAAATGTTTTTGCTTTGGAACAACTAGTATTTGACGATTCATCTTTGCGACGTCTGCTGACACAACATATCGATGCTGCCGATATCGTAAAAGAATTGAAAGTAAATCAAAAACCTGTACTACAGGTCCGATATATTGTACATCATTGAACGAGACACCAGAAGATGTCTTTGAAGAGGCATCGAATACGACACGAAGCTTAGTAGTCTCGCTAGACTCTCGAATGACAGCTTGATGGGGCAAGTAGCATCCAAATGCTGGTCGAGGAACTTCGGTCATATGACCTAACTGTTCATATTCGTGAATGAATTCAAGATATTTTTGTTTAAGAGCTGGTTTAGTCTTAAATTTCCTTTCTAATTGCAACAAGCGTTTTTCAGCTATATTGTAAGAATCACCCAAGCACTGAGTAGATTCTTTAAGAGGAATTTGAACACAAAATCTACCGTGAGCATCTCGATAAGTAGTATTTTTAAATAATTTTTCGCAATAATCATCGGTAAGAGACTCGACATTAGAAGGCACCTCTTCGAGTTCCCAGAATTTACGAAGCTGCTGGCTTTATCCAATGAAAAATGACAAAATGATTTACGATTCTTACTGTTACTATGAATAGCAGTTGGACCCGCTACAATCCATCCCAGCTTCGTTTCCTGCAAGATTGGGCCTTGAGGTCCTAAATTTATCCTGCTTGATTCCAACAAGTCCCAAAATACATCAGCACCCAATAAAAGATCAATATCGGAAGGTTCAAAGAACTTTGGATCGGCAAGTTGGACATGACACGGAATGTCCAAATGTTGTACGTTTACTGCAACATTGGGTAATCTATCAGTGATGTGAGGTAACACAAAACATTTAACACGCATAACTAACGAACTGTTTAACGACCCTATATCTAAATAGCAATGTTTTGTGACATTGAAGACACTACTTCCTATACCTGATACGCTATGGTAATCAGAATCAAAATGTTGCGAACCTGTTTCCCTTAGAGCCCTGACAGTCACAAAAGAAGACTGACTGCCACAATCTAGTAAAGCTCTTAATATGCATGTTTTACCGTTACTCGTCACCTTGACTAAAGCAGTAGAGAGAAGTGATTGATTGGTAGAAATTGCAGTCATGGAAACCGAAGCAGAGCTACTCGGCACTTCGGAATCGGTAGCGACCGTGGCGGCAGGTGATAGCGTAGGTAAGTTTTTACTATTATTATCACTTTGTTCTTGAATTTTAAATGATTGCTGTATAGAATTTTGTTTATGTATTAAAGTGTTATGTTTTTTGTGACAAATTCTACACCCACCCATCCTGCACTGATAGGCTTGATGCCCCTGACGAAGACAATTGGAGCATACATTTAGTAATTTAAGTTTATTAATTCGATTAGAGACTGGTAGTGACTTAAACGTGTTACACTCGTATAATTTATGATTCTGTTTACAGAGAAGACACTGCGCGGAGGGTGATGGTGATTCTATAGAAGAACTAAGGAATGATTTTGTGTTGGAGAAACTAAGGCGTTTATCAACTTTACTGGGTTTATTAACATTCATTGTTTCTAATACCATAGAACGCTTTCGAAGAAAATCATAAAAATCGTCCAGTGTGGGCGCGTCTTTATTACTTCTATATTCCTCCCACTTCCGAGAAGTAACACTGTCTAATTTGGCAGAAGCTAAAAAAATAATTAACGTATCCCATTTGTCCGTCAGTTCACCTAAAATATGTAAGGCGTTTAGGTTTTTCGATAATGTATCGATAAGGTTACGTAAACCACTGTGGGATTCCTTAGTTAAGGATTCGATAGAAAACAAGCACTTTATGTGTTCATTTATCAAAAGACGTTTGTTATCATATCTCTCGCATAACAATTTCCATGCGAGGCTATAGTTATCGGATGAGACACTGACTGAGTTTATGACAGCGCTAGCCGGCCCTTCCAAGTACGTCTTGAGGTAGTGAAACCTGTTAACGTCGTCAATCGTTTCATTGTTATGTACTAACGACACATATGTATCCCTGAATGACAACCATTTGTTCGCCTCACCATTAAAGGGAGTGATTTTAATTGGGGGCAATTTTAAATGACAGTTCGGACGACTTTTGTTAGATGAAGATTCTAATTTATTTTTATTTTCGAAAAAATCGATTAATGACTGAGCTTCGGCTGATAAACGAAAAAATATATTTTCATTAAATTCGCGTTCTTGCATTTGTTTTGACGTATCTTCATCCAACATTTCAATCTGCGATTGAATATCATCAAAAGTGCATGATAAATCACGTATCTTGCTTAAGCGCAAGCGCAATTCATTCACCTGTACTAAACTAATTTCTTTACACTCTAACAAAGGTTTTAAATATTTTTCAAACAATGTTACACGAGCCTTAATATGTCCCCTTTGTTTGATAAGTTCCTTTACGTCACTCATAATGACGGTGCAATATTTAAATATTATAACGCTTCACGTATATATACCGAATCAGATGTTAATAACTACGATGTTAAGAATTAAATAAACCGCGAAACACCATATAACACAAGCTATTTGTACAAACAACAATTTTAAGAATAATTTTAGTAACAAAGAATTTTATATTATGTACCGATATCATAAAAAAGTTGACGGTGGGCGAAAAATAAATTTATCATATAAATTTATTATATAAATTTTACTCACGCGAGTTGAAGCAAAAAAGGATATATAAGTAGAAAGGATGGATGCACTTCCCTCGGAAACAGTGGCTGCAGCTGGCTGCTGGCGAATTCTCGAAGGATAGCTCCGCCCGTGATATTTTCGTGATGACGTAACAACAGTTTGGCTGCGAGTCCGTTCCAATTCGAAGTTGATCACGTCGGGGTCACCAAAATGAGTGCGCAGGTTACAAGTAAACGAAGACTGACTTAATGCTATTTATTTTAGATAGATTACACATATGGATGTTGCACGTTCAATGCTTCGTTACGCACTGATGATCTTGACCGAGTCCCGCGTTCTCGCGTCGTAGCTAATAGTTTATATGAGGCGTTTACATTCTTGGTAATTGGCTCCAACAGCGTAAGTGAAGATTTTTTTACAAATCACCTTTAAAATGAATTTTTATACAACCGTTACTATTATACGTATTTATAGTTATATTAAACTTGTCTCACGTTTTAATCAAACCACTAAATATTCAGACCAAATGGAATAGAAGATATTTATTATGTTGTCAAAATTCAAAATCTTTAACAAAATAAAGTCATTTGCCCCGTAATCATTTTCTAAGAAATAAATCAAGTGCATATTATGTATTTTTAAAAATATGAGATACAAGTATTTATTTTTATATTCTCTTTATATAGAGACAGTTAATAACTGTCAATCTCACGGATTCATTTCCAAAGTGACGCAGGGTTTTATGTGAAATAAAATTTTTATGTCATAGATTTGATTTCATCTTTATTTTTATATCCATTGAATTTCTAGTAATATGCTGAATTTATGGATTTGTAAATTTTTCGTAATTTCAGGATTATAACGACGGTATATTTTTTAATTTCATTGATTTATTTCAGTGTTTATTTGCATTTATATATCAGTATAAAGTTCTGAATTCAACATTTTTAATACTAATTGGGTAGCACTTTACTATTTTTTCTGGTAGTAGATTCCACCTACAATCAAAGCCAAGGGCGGTGTTAAACCTAGTAGTAGCCAATTTAATCTTACCATGAAAATACCCAAAGTATGAGTACAAAAAAATACAGAGGCAAATATCCAAAGAGGAATGAGAAAGTTTATCGATTCATGGATACCAAGAAGTCTACATGTAAAGAACAGAAGTTCGTCGTATGCCTTATGGTCAAATGTAAAAAGAATTAATCTCTTTTAAAGCATTTACTGCAAACATTCGTCAAAATAAATTCTCCAAAATACTTAGAAACTGGCCTCTTACCAGATGTAGGTAACCCAACAATAAACTCACCTTGGCTGGGGGTATTGGCTTTGGAAGCTGACGAAAGTAGAAGCGCTGGAAACTAGTATAACTTTCTATCTTTCTTACATTAATAGATTTTCTAATGAATCATTATAATTATTTTCATCAAAATAAAGTTTAATGATGAAAAAGTACGAAAGTAAAGCAACGCATCTTCAGTTTATTGAAACGAATAACTCTAAAATAAATTCCAACTTTACCTAATATTGTGACTGTTGATTTTATCTTTAAGGTAAATTCTAAACTCTTTACATTTCATATAAACGGATTTGCAGGTTGAGTCACAGGCTTAAAGGTTGCGCAAACAAATTACGTACCTCAAAATTACCACAGTCTTACCCCAGGTAAATTGTCTCTAACATTCCGTAAAATTAATACACATAAGGAAAATTTCGTATCTTCTTCAATAATTTTCAATAATTTTATGTTATACAGAACTTTTGAGCTATTTAGTTAAATATTTGAATTCTAGAGCTGATGCATGAATATATTCCAATTTAATTATTTCTTTTGTAACCTTTATAGATGAAATCATTTTACGATTTGCTGGAGAAATTCTTACAGTATCGTTTTAAAATGCTATCATTGCACACCATTACTTGTGCTTAATTAATAATTACTTATAAATAATTAGATATAGTTAAAGGAACAACCCTTAAAAGTAAAAGTCAATTGTGGTCTACCAGACGTTAGCAACCCCAAGAACATATGTTACGGCTATAACTTATACAACTATTGTATTATTAAAATAATGTTAGGAAATAACCTGCTCGCGTGTTTAAAACGAGACTTCAGTATAAAGTGGTAATATTAGATTTAATGTTGAGTTTAAAATTTTGGTAAACATATATTTCATTTAGTATTTGTAGCAAAAATGTAGGTGCTTTAAAATAAGTCCGGAAAATCCTAAAATAAGCGTAAAGTTGCTGACTCCTAACAGATTAGGATTAGAATGTATGTATTTACGTTTAAGGTGTTTTTACAAGCCTTATTGAATGTTTAATAGAGCTCAAAATTTATAAAAGCGTCGACGGCGAAATCTCTTCAGGCTTAAAAGGAGTTACAAATTAATCTCACTATAGAATGTTACGTTATAGGATTCCACAATGTATTTTTTATTCAGGTAGTATAATGAAAATGCAAATAAAAGTGAGATTAGTAATGGATAGGCAAATGAATTCAACGGAAGGTTAACATGATAAAGTAAACATTAAAACAATAATTGAATAATATACTAAATATGAAACATTTATTTTAAATAAATAAAAGAAATATAATATTTTGTTTAAACCTATTACTTTTCTATATTCAAAGAAAGGTTAAATCTTATTTTTACTTTAATTAAGCTATCTACTATTTGTGAGACAGGTGAAAACGAAGTTTAAATTTCAAATATAAATAATATTAAAACAGAATCTCCTCAACGTCGGTATCTTTTTTTCAAGATTTTAGTTTTTTAAACACGGATAATTTGGTAATCTACGTGTGACTTAATCTTCTATATATATAAAAATGGATTGCTGTTCCTTAGTCTCGCTAAAACTGGAGAACAGCTGAACGGATTTATCCTATCTTATTCTTGAAAAGTTCGTGGAGGTTCAGGGAAGGTATAAAAGCTGAAAAAAATTAATTCATTACTGGGAAAACCATAAAAACAGCCCTTTTCTATTTCCCATACAAACGTTTTTTTTTTTGACATTAGATTTGACAACTATGTAACTAATATGTCAATCATTCTGTCGCACTTCAAAACACTGAGATTTATGGCTTTAATAGGTAAACTCCAAAAATATAAATAAAGAAACGAAACAGATATTTCTTGATTATAGGGCGATACGAAGTTCGCCAGGTCTTCTAGTTCTTAATAAATAATAATAAATACCACAAATTCACATCATTTCGCATAATTTTGTGCAGCTCTGTCTGATAAAAATATAGTGTCGAAAAAGATTGTTTATTTGAAATATATTTCATTATATATTTTGATATAATTTAGGTTTTTTTTTGGTTCTCGTATTAATAATTCACATGTTATCGACTTTCGAGTATAATCTACAAATAAAAACATTCTCAGTTTAATCATGTAGTAGTTAATAATATCTAAGATTTTCTTGTATACTCAGCAACAGTTGCAGTAGAGGAAACGTCGGGATTACGTAGTTTAAAATAATAAAACTCCTAGTGTGTGAAAACCTTAGTTTAATTTACATGCAGTAGTATCTATCATGTTATGCACTCGTGAAATACACAATTTTCCTGGTTAGACTTTGACATAGAATAGGAAGTATTTAGAGAAACGAAAAATAAAACAGAAAACACAATATACATTTTAAACAAAAATAACAATTGAATACTAATATTATACATAAATATTTTTATTCTTTAATACAAAAACTACTAAATAATTTTTATCATCCCCTTCAACGTCACACAACAGACTAATTTCGATGCTATGTACAATTTTATAGCATCATTCTTCTAAATAAATTGTCCTCATTCAGTCAAGGTTTAAAATATGTTAAACTCAGGAACAAAAAAATATTTATGGCATTAAAATAATATTGTGATACCGAAACATGAAAAAGGTTATCAATTGATGGCCTCGAGTTTTTTATTTGAATTTAAAGTTTCTTTCCATTTTTGTATGATAATTTTGTTTCTCAATCAATATTAAGCCCCAGCGTCAAATTATTTGGATATATCAAAACTATTTTAATAATTTTATTCCAATCTTAAATCAAGAATGTTTTATAAGTTACAAATAAATTGAAAATAACTTATTTGAACATTACAATGATTTGTTTTAAAAACTTTGTAAAAATATTGGCTAAAAATAAAATAAAATGATACGAAACACTCTAATACAAAGTAACTTGTTACGGTGTGTTCCAAATCATTAAGTTTTGACTTCGCCCGTTTTTTTTATTCTTTGGTTGATTGAGTTCTCAATTTTACATCTAATTACAAAGTGCAGAAAACTATAAAAACAACTCTAGAAATATTTTGTCATCCGTACAGATATTATCGTATTTATAGAACAATATTTTTTATATATATTACTTAAGATCTCTCTATACTTTAATAAATAAACTAAAAGCTTTTTTAAATAATTATAGTCATAAACTTCTTGATACATAAATTCAATTCAAAATTCAATTGAATTTTTTTTTTACTTTAAATATTTCTTAAAAGTTGTCGTTCATCAATCGCATGTCGCATTACAGGCAGCCGGGGGAGGGGTAGATAAAAAGAAGTTAGTAGTAGTAGTAATGGTTTATTATTATTTCCTACACCAAATAAGCGGATAAAAATTTAAGAATATAATAGCATATTTCATTTCAAATTGTTTTCTCATTATAATTAAAAATTCCCATTTATTATATACAAATAAGATCTAAGATTTTCGCAAGTATTCATGTAAATGAAACTAATATTTTTTGGATATGCTAAG